GTGGGGGGTCGCCCTACACTTCGTTCGTCGGCTACCACTCGCGAACCTTTTTTTCACATCCGTTGCACTAAGTTATAACATACTACGTACGTAGTACATTATAAATCAATGATCCGTTGTCGGTTGTTCGAGCTATAGTGTACAATAAAGAATAAATACATAAATATTTTTCTATTTACTTTCTAATGCTTTTTATGTGGTGGTGCCATTTCCAATAACCCGTATAGAAGCCACAGCTGGATCTTATTTCTAAACTAGCTGTTCCCCGCGAATTTACCCGCGTGGAATTTATTATGATTTTATTTCATGGGTCTTAATTTTTTTGCGCGGAACTCTAATTCTCTTTCTAAAATAAAAGTACAAACAAACACTTCAATTTTATTTATTTGCATATATATAGATTAGCTATTACATAACGTCATTTTATGCTTTAGGCCGTGCAGTGGAGGTGTCGTTAGGGTTGGTAGGGTCGGTACGGTTATATTTTTTTAAGCACAGGCTGCACATTGGCCAGCTTCCAAATTTTGGGCACTATTCCAGTCCTGAATGAAAGGCGGAACAAGCGCGTCATCACAGGAGACATGGCTGGTATACCATCAGGTCCACTAGCTTTGTTCACGTCTAGATTTCGAAGGTTTTGAGAACCTCCTTGCTGGTTCAACAATCCACTATCCACCTAACTAACTATGGTTTTGCTAATATGGGGAATATTGGCAAAGCCATAGTTGCCGTATGAAGCTTGTTGACTGTCTCACTGGTCCAGCGGAATTTACCGCATTTGCTGAGCAATTGAAATCAGTTAGTGGGTTCTTCTATCAAGAAGTTCTCAGCAGCAGCCCGGAAGTGAGGGAATAGAGAGTACTCCTGTGTTTGCGCATACTCTAGCACTATAATCCTGTCCTGTGAAAATGGAAATCACCAGAAACACTAACAGAAACATTTTTATTTAATATATATTATAAATAATACTCAGTGAAAGTCACTGTTGTGAAGTTACCGCTGGTTCGAAAAAGAACCTCTGTTCTGGGAAGAAGATGTACGCTGTAAGAAGTGATGCTCTTAAATTAATTATTTCGTATTTAAGTGAGAGAACGCAGAAAGTTGCCATTAACAGTGTGAGCTCTTCCGGATCGACGGTACAAATGGGCGTGCCTCAAGGCTCAATTCTCGGCCCCTTTCTGTTTCTTGTATACATTAATGACTTACCTTACATAGTAGGGGATAACCATGATATAGTATCATTTGCTGATGACACTTCTTTAATTTTCAAATAGTTTTTTTTATATAATTACTTTTCTAGCGAACGCCACGGATTCGCATGGATAGCATCTATTAATGTGACATTGTTTAGATTTAACAAAGAAAATTTAAGTTAACAACTTTTCATTAAAAAAAAATCTCAAAGTAAAAATATAGTCCAGATCACCCCTGACATTGCTCTCTATCTGTTTGTGAAGTTACTATTACAATTGCTAAGGCCATTCCAAAGATTACCCCGGACATTCAGACAGATAAATTTACAAAAAAATTATGATGTCGTAATGGCATCGCAATAATCCCGTCAGCTCAATATAAGACAGTTTTTTCGATGTTACAAACGGGCACTTCAATTTTAATTTGGTTCATTGTATATTGTATGTATTATATATCCAGGTATACCTCAAAACTTGAATACGAGACTGTACAAACAGTGCGTGTTGCCAGTGATGACCTATGGAACTGAGACGTGGTTCTTCACTGCTGGCCGGATGAGGAAGCTCAAAGTCGCTCAGCGAGTTATGGAGAGGGCTATTCTCGGAGTTTCTCTGCGTGATAAACTTAGAAATGAGGATATCCACAGTAGAACCAGAGTGACCAACATAAGCCAACGGATTAGTAAGCTAAAGTGGCAGTGGGCCGGCCATATAGCTCGAAGAACCGACAACCGATGAGGAAAAAAGGTTCTCGAGTGGCGGCCTCGTACCGGCAGACAAAGTGTAGGGCGTCCCCCCACTAGATGGAGTGACGACCTGGTAAGATATACAGGAAGTCGATGGATGCAGGTGGCTCAGGCCCGTGCTTTGTGGCATTCTTTGGGGGAGGCCTATGTTCAGCAGTGGCCTTGTGAAGGGCTGTAATGATGATGATGATGATATTGTATGTATGTACTTGAACCACTGATCTTAGTTCATGTGATGTCAAATCGCTCCTGTCATAGCCTTTAATTTATTTTAGTTTTTTTTTTTTATAACATATTTATAGGATGAGGGTGACAAACAAGCACACAGTCCATTTGATGGTAAGAGTGGTTGCTGTGGCCCATAGACATCTACATTCTATCCTCGATTACGAAACGAAATGCAGATGCGTTATCACCCCTGAGGGCTAAGCTCTTTATTTTAAATTTATTATAAAAATGGCATTCTTCAGCTTCTTGAGCTTGCGCTGCATGACCATAAACTCATGTATCAAGTAATATGCGGGCTCCCTTGTTACTTCTCCGAGATAGGGATAAAATTATTAATCAAAATAAAACAAAACAAATTCTCTATGATTATTTACAAACATTAATTATTTATTTATTTAAGACAAAAAATATCACCTTCCACGAATTGAATACAAAGAAGGCACATACATATAGATAAACATCAATAAATTGGTATTTGTTACAGAACCAATCAAATTACAATTTTGTTTAAACACGCGTTCTGAATTTTTATAACGTTTCTAAAAAAGAAATATATGACGTATACAAAAAAGTTTAAGAAATAACTTTCTAAAGTATGTATTTTTAAACATTTGAAAAAGGAATAAATTAAAAAATTAAAAGTTTTGTTATTTACCGCATATTTCAGAACGCGTGAGTTGAAATTTTTTTTCCTTAGGCCGAATTTATGGTTGGTAACATTAAAAAAAAAAATACTTTACGGTATCGTCAATTGATTATTTACTGTAAAAATGCATTTGACTTAAATCAACTTTAATAACACATTAGGGCGATGAGAATAACAACATTTTCTTGTACTTAGTTGCTTTAAATTTGTATTTAAGGAACTAATATGCATAAATATAACAAAATAGCATTTCTAATGTCGTTAAAAATGTCTGCCTTTGTTGCTACAGATGTACAATCAGAACTATTACAGTATGTACAATACCAACTGAACCTGTAGATCTTAGATTATATAAAAATACTCTATCGTCCTTTAGCTACATGTATTTCTGTCATTATATTTCCTTAATTTTATCGATAAGTCTAAAACTGTTACATACGTCACTACACTAGTAATGTTCTTCAAACACTGTAAGTGCAAGTAAGAAGAGGTTCGATGAAAGCGAGTTTCGGCATATAAATTCAATTATATCTTTTTTCTTTTAAGTTTCGTTCAATATGAAACATTTTAAAAATTGTCAGTGACATATCGAAATGTGCATTTTACTTTTTATCGTTATACGTAAGTGTTAACCGTTTTAAAAATTACACTCAAATTGTAATGAAAAGATGTTACGATAAAAGCTATTGTAATTTAAAGACTAGCACGTTATATGTACTAAAATTACACTTTAAATAATGGAAGATTACGTCAATTTTATCAATAAATTTAAGCACCTCGTGGAACTCTTTTAATCGTATAAATTACAGGCACATTGCATTTTTTTTTTAAATTACGTTTAATTGGTAATAGGTAAATATCTTATATTTAATACGTAATACTATATTTATTTATAGTTTAGTTTTATGGCAGCTACTTTGACTGTTTTATGTTAATATATAAAATATTATTATTGTGTATTGTATGTGCTTTTATTTATGTAAATCAATTGAATTGTTTGGATATAAGTATTTTAATTTATGTACTTGCATTTCGTTATGAATATTTAATTAAATCTAATAATTTGTTACACGAAGCGAATATTAAAATTGTTTTGTTGTAATCTACAGCATAAATTAATAATCTATAAAATTTTAATAAGCACATCAATTAAAGACTGTAATTAAACTTAATGTAACGCTAAATATGTTACTTAATTACACTTTGGTAATAATAACCTAATATTTTAATACATTAAAGAGTAAATTTGAGAAGATCGAAACGCTAGAGATTAAGATTAAACAGAAATGTTATAAGCGAACCGTTAAAAGATACATAAGCGACATCACTATCGCTAACTAAAAACAATTAATAATAATATTTACAGGAAATATTTAAATCTTAGGAAAAGAATACAGCTGGTTGAAGGAATTTCGCTTATTTTTTTTACAATTAGCTCGGAGAGATAAAAACTACTGTATATTTTAAGTAACTGGGCTTCAATCGAAAATGACGTTGAAAATTTTTTAAATATTGACAAACTAATAATAAAACTGTTTAAAACTGGGATAAAAGCATTTGTACTTTGGAATCGAAGTGCTATACAGCTGCACGAAGAGCTACTACAGGCGTGAATAAACTTTAAAAAGAACAGCCTAAAGTGACAATCACCACGTAAAGACAAGACACATAAGTTAATATAATCTGTCTTTTCGACTACAAAATACACAGCGTTCCAAAACAATGACGACGTGTTGTGTTGATAAATTTAAAAAAAATTAACGCATTTAAAAATATGTAAGTAGCTGTCACTGTTCACAGATAACGAATTTTATTTCTAAACACTAAAAACAGTTACCGTTAAAATAGTGATGTGAAATATACGCCATTAATATTTTTCTCTAGTTTTTTTTTAGAAAATGAATAGTGTAATTGCAGATTGACTTTGTAAGTCATATTTGAACCAATAATGCTACTTATATCTGCACCGGGAAAAAAGAAAAATAATAATATTAATCTATAATTCTTCATTAAATCATTACATTTATTAGTAACATAATTGAACTCGACGTATAAGTATATCAAATCAACCAACGGGAATAATATTTGTAACTTTGAAAATGTAGAAATATTTTTGCATCTTGTCTTAATTCACAATTAATATACTATCGACACTAACAATAAATAATTTAGGCTACAGCATCCCATTTAAAGCATTCGCACGAGGAGGTACATGAGAGTGGTCGTCAATGCGCTAAGGATCGTCGGCCGGATGGAATGCGCGTTGTTGCCTCGGTACACTGAAATAAAATAAAGTTATGTGATTAATAAAAAATAGATGAAATAAGCGTCGTGTAGCGGCAGAGTAAGGGAACGCTCTACTAGGTGTCCCACCAACAAAGAGTTTTGCCTGTTGATTTCCACTGCAAACGGATAACGACAGAGAGGAATCAGCGGAGCGAGCTGAACGGAATATGAGAAATGGGAAATGAATAGTCAATTTCCACCGAGAGCGAGTTCAGTTGGAGTTTTGAACTAGTTACTTGCGGTATTGTTTTGTTGTGTGAATTCGCGATGTTATCGAGTGACACGGAATCAAGTGAGGACAGTGATTATGTATACCGAAAGAAAAAGTATGTATTATTATATCTTAAGCACAGAAAAAACTTGCAAAACGGAGATTTTGGTTATGTCGGCACATTCGAGAAAAAACGTTGAAAGGGGAATATAGGCTATGCAATAATTTGGACGACGAAAAATTTAAGAACTATTACAGGATTAGCAGAGAATAATTTCAAGAACTTTTGTCATTTGTAAAGGCCGACATTTTAAAATTTAAAATTTTAAAATTTACATTTTAAAACAGCAGCGTCGAGCGACTCCGTTTCAAACTAGTCGGCGAGACCGCGACGCAGCGGACACGTGTTACTCGTTTGGTCCGCTCCGCTCAACTCTTTTTCGGTGGAAACACTACTTTGTAAAATTCAATTGCGAGTTGAAAGTACTCATTAATGACTCCGGTACAAGTCCGCAGCTCATTTTTCGTCTTTTCGCCCTAGTTGTCATTTACACTCGACTCTTTGTTGGTGGAAACACATGTACCTATGCAGTTTTGTATTGCGAGGTAAAAGGAGTAATTAATGGGTCCGTTCCGCTCGCGATGGAAACCGGGCTTAAGGGGCGACAAAGGGAAATTAAACGGGGGATGGGCAGCCCATCTTCCTTATAATAACTTAATAAAAAACTGCGGTAAGTAAACCGTTTTCCAAGCGTTGCAAATATACCCATTATTAGGCATTTTGGGGGCGGGGGCGAGGGGGGTGGGGTAGCGGCGGTATGGTTAGCAGTGCACTGTAATAGGCTGTAATGTCAAAAACATTTGTAAAAATTAAAACCTAATATTTTTATATTACAGTTCATTTTATATTTCAGCTTTTTATTCCTTACAATCTAATGGTTCAATTTTTAGCCTTAGCTTCTCGAGCTGCATTTTTCTCGGCAGCACGTGCAAGCTGTTTGGCTTAGGTTTCAGGTTTCCCTTTTTGCAAAATCGTTGATTTCTCAAGAATTTGAGCTCCGTCCCGAGAGTAGATTCATGTCTGAACTTCTTAGGTTTTTTGATACCATTTCGATGAGCCTTGCGATTTTGGTTATGATTCGTATGGTTCTTAGACTTAGCCATAACGAATGTTATTCAGTTCACTATTTGTGAAAACTTTAGAGCGAAAAAGGTTTAATATTATTCTGCTGACAAATAACAGTGCATCCACTGCCTTGTGGTAAATTAAAGAGCCTGTATAATAACACGTTGTATAATTTCATACCGTGTAGTGGCGCTGTAAAAATATCCACTAATATGGTATATTTGGTGATACGGGAATAGTGGGTGTCGTAAGAGGCGACAGAGGGAAACAAATCAGGAGATGGGCAGCAGCGTCTTCCTAAGTACAGTAAAAGTCAGTAAAATACTGCGGTTGCCAAAGACTCTAACCAAACTTGCCAACTATAGCAAATACCCCCCTATGGGGGGAAGCCTATATTCAGCAGTGGACTTTGATAGGCTGTAACGGTTACGGTAGCATTTCATATTTATATTTATGGGTGACACCGTACCGTCTATGGGCTGCACCACTTACCATCAGGTGTGCTATTAGTTCGTTTGTTACTGTAATTCTACAAAAAAAAACATAAGAACTACATTTTTATAAAAAAAAAGAAAAGAAAAAGCGTATTTTCAAAGAAAACAAATCAAAGCATTCTTACCTGACGCGTGTTGGATGAACTGTGGTTGAGCGTCTAAAAATTAAAAAAAAAAACAAAGTCAAAACATGCGCATGATAAAAAAATGTCACGTACATTAATCATAAAAAAATGGTTTATGGTATTTATAAATTATGAATATGGTGTAATGTTAATATGAATCAAATACGCAAATAAAGATTTAACGAAAATATATTTTTTTTTATATACCAAATGTACTAAATCATGGTATTGCGTGATATTTAAATAAACAAACGCTTTTAACTAACAGTACGAAAATGAAATTGTAGTAATAGAATTACCTAGTTAAAACGATCAATAATTTCTATTGTAATTGTACCTTTGAGCCCGGATACATTTTTTGATTGTTAGTACATATAAAATCATTTTTATTGAATGTAATATAACGTAGAAATCAGAAACGCAACCGTCGTTGCTATCTTTCTCTCTCTCTCTCTCTCTCTCTTTCTCTCTCTCTCTCTCTCTTTCTCTCACCTTACGGTAATTTTCAATACGCGTTTTTGCCATAAGCGCACACTGAAAAATATCACGTAATATTTACGTTTAATTTAGTACACTTAACCTGTTTTAAATTTTTTTTACAATTTCATTTTCGTTTTTTATTCTACATCAACCTTAAGAAGTCAATGTAAAATATCAGTATACTAACAAAAAGTACCTTTAGTACACAGTCATAGTTACTATTTTCACTAAATAGTATTTTTCTGGCATTCAAACTTACCAATATCGACAAGAGCTGGCTGCGAGTGCTGGCTCCAGCTCTTATCGTTCTTAACCTTCACGGTAGCCTCATATTTGCCGGGTTCCAGATCTTGGTCGGTCAGCGGGAAGATTATTTCATACTCGTGGGTCCTCATTTCCGGGACCGGTACGCTGAGGGTCCTCCACTGACCATCCTGTTGAGATGCAAAAGGATGCATAAATGAAACCAGCGTAAAATAGCAAACAAACAAGTTTATGTTACTTATTGTTACATCGCAGCGTATAAAAGCTTCATCATCATCGCCTACTGTGTTTCGTATGGAGAGTGAATAGAGAACCAGTGTAGTTACAGGCTGTATGGAAATCCATATATGCCAGCTTTAGTAGTATAATTTTTTGAAGTTATTTCCTGCCGTTTTCTTTAAAAGGTCAAGGTCAAATAATCCAAATTTCTTTATATTATAATTACCTTTTTTTATAGGATAAGGATGGCAAACGAGCACACAGTCCACCTGATGGTAAGTGTGGTTGCTGTGGCCCATAGACATCTACATCTATCCTTGATTACGAATCAAAATGCAGATGCGTTGTCACCCGTGAGGACTAAGATGGAATGCCTCTTTTCCAGTAAAAAGGGTCTCCGGTTCTCTACACTCACCATACGAAACACAGCAGCGTTAAGCTGTTATTTTACGCTGGTATTCTGTGAGAGCGTGGTCCTTCCCCGGTCGAACCGACCCATTCGTGCTACAACTATACCAGTAATATAGCTGTAGCATGGCTCTACTACGTGAAAGCATATCTGGTCGGGAGTGGACAAAATAATAACACAACGCTCAAGGTGACTGATGTATATGCAAGCACAGGTGCACTCTCTATTCCCACACCCTCATAGTCCGATGGGACGGTAATCCGATACGACTGGAGAGAGGTCATGTGCAAGACCAAAGATGGCTGCTACTCAAAATTTCGTGACAGAAAAACCCAATAATTGATTTAACCCGACCCGGGATTCGAACCCGGGACCTCTTGATCAGTAATCGAGGTTACAACCACGAGACCAACGAGACAGGCAAGGTGACTATTACAACGTCGTCTATATAATTACATTAAAAATTTGATGCTCTATTTTTCCCCGCCTTACATTTTTGATTTTTTCTTCAAATTTTAATGAAAGCACCTTCGACTACCCTCTATTCAATAAAAAAAATATCATAAAAATCAATTAACAATCGGCGAAGATATCGCGTAACAAAAAGATACTGTCCAATTGAGAACCTTTCCTTTTTTTCAGTCAGTTAAAATGCCATAACACTTTTTGAACTTACCCCATTAATTTGTCGCAACTGCAGCTCAATCTGTTCCAATGGCTGGTGCGAGTGAATGGTCCACGACAGCTTGGGTCCGTCCACATCGAGTCCTTCCACCACTGGGCTCTGTACCAACTCTATAGATTTGTTGTGCTTGCCCAGTTCGTTGTCGGCCTGAAAGAAAACGCGAGGTCTTTGAATAATTGTAGTTTTTGCTTTAGTTCTAAGATTTGGGGGAATATCTGCTTAGATGGCATATCTGCATAGGCAACTCCGTGGCGCAGTGGCTTAGCAATGAGTCACAACGCTAAGGGCCGCGGGTTCGAATCCCGCACGGAACAAGTATTTGTATGGCCTACAAATAATTGTTCCGGGTCTGGATGTTTGTCCTATATATTTCACTCTTTCTTTTTTTTTCATCATAATAAATATTTATTCACTCTTGAGGGGTCAGAATGTTTCAAAAAGGCAGGTATTTATAATTCTGTGTAATTCCCTATCATATCATTTTATAAAGGGTATATTTTGCGAAAAGGTGATGATAATGACGCTCATCAGATCTATAAACACGACCGAATTGAATAAAAAGTTTGGACTCCAAATTTAACCTTAAACACCGATCCTGGAAAGAACCAACAAGAAACAGAGACGTTATCAATCAAAGTGTCTTACCTCACAGGTGAAAGTGCCGAAGTCCTGGTCGCTGGTGGGGATGACGGTCAAGTTGGAGTGGTGACCGTGCGTGCTCACGCTGAACTGGCTCGACGTGTCTTCGATGAGGAAGCCGTCCTTGTACCAACGGATGTGTGCACTAAAATACGAAAAAAAGCCGTCAGAAAAACGTTTAATCTTATGTATTTTAAAGTTAAGTTTCGATTGGAAATGGGTCGAGCGCTTTCTGTGTATTATACGCATCTCTCAGTAGGTACGTAGGTATCGTTCCAAGTTTCATTGTGTGGTCATTGATTTATATTAATGGCATACATTTTCTTTTTTTATCAGCCGGTAAAAATCAACAATATATAGAACATAACAGTCCTATAATCGTGTAGAGGCGGTGTACGAATATTCACAACCCCAATGAGGGCATCCACGACTTCTTCTGCCACCAGGGCAGTGCCACTAGAAAGTGAGGTATAATATTTGACAGATTTCATAGAGGGGAAGTTAATTTGTTCGGAAAATGTAAAAGTTACGTCTCTTTCTGTACTATTATATTTTATATTAATAATAATAAAAATTAAATAAACCAAACCACAGATATTCACAAAAGTAGAAAAATTAAAAAAAAAGTTAAAAATATGCAAAAAATTAAAGAGCAAACCACTGAGTCATTGTTTTGTGTATTAATATAATACTCTAGAAACTGATAAACTTTTATTAAAAAACAACTTCTCAATTAAATTACATTGTGTAACAAAAAACTTTACTTCAGTGTCAACTAGCGACATCTGGTGAGCAGAAAATTATTAACTCTCATTCGTCCCCTGGGTGTCGTAAGAGGCGATTATGGGGTATATATTATGGAATATAATTATCGTAAGATCCCATGGCTTCCGCTGGTGGCATTACGGAGTTAACACCGTCCCCTCATACATTCTAATCCAATTAAACAATTTATAATGGCATAACGGGCCTACTTTTATGTGGAGACTTTTATTTTATTTTATTAAATGTATTTATAACATACATCATACAGGGTTATTTTGCAATAACTGGCCAAATTTATAGAGAAGGTTCAGAATCAACAATATAGGCAAATGGTCGAGAAAAATTTATTAAAAGAAATCTCAAACATTCGGTCCTTTTTATCTTTTAAGTTCAAAATGCGTTGTAAGGCATTATTTTAACTGATTTTACTGCGCACGCACATATTCGTATGGGTCGATCGGTTACCCATAAATCACATTCAATTTGGGATAATTTCAAATAAAATTAGAGGCGTCATTTACTCGCATTTTCGAAAACTGCAATAACGGTATTTTTTTTTATAGAATAAGGGTGACAAACGAGCACACAGTCCACCTGATGGTAATTGGTTGTTGTGGCCCATAGACATCTACATCTATCCTCGATTACGAATCAAAATACAGATGCGTTGTCACCCGTGAGGACTAATATGGAATGCCTCGTTTGCAGTAATAAGGGTCTCCGGTTCTCTACACTCACCATACGAAACACAGCAGCATTGAGCTGCTATTTTACGCTGGTATTCTGTGAGAGCGTGGTCCTTCCCCGGTCATGTCGACCCATTCATGCTACAACTATTCTACTAATATAGCTGCAGCATGACTCTACCACGTAATATCATTATTTATATATTTGAACTTAAGTTTAAAATTTGGCTACTCTTTGAAAAATAACCCTGTACATATATACATTTTAGCTTTCTGCGCTCCTTCTCCATATAAACTTTAACTAACCTATAACTTTTATTTTTTTTGGGCGCATTATGTTATAAAAGGGTTACAAAATTTCTACTTCGTGTACTGATATTTAGATTCTAAACTGGTATAACGGACACTCTTTAGATGACACCGATGGGTTCAGCTGTAGGCCTTTTCTAAGTTGATTATTTAGGAATGATTACAGTCATTGACACACTGCACGCAGGTTTTGGCGGTAGCAGTGATGTAAATGCTTCGCACTTCATACGCTACAAGTTGTCGGAGTTTTTGGAAGGACGGTAAGAATTTGGCGGATGGGGGCTAGGCGAGAAAAAGTGTTAGATTTTTTCGTCATGAACCCTTCTGACGTAGTGTAGACGCCCTTGGTGGCTTTAAGGAAGTGAGATGGAATAATATCCATCTCCCTAGCACTTTTTCTTATCTTGCCATGAAAGAAATATTATTTTAATTCAAATGACGCTTTGTTTTAATAGACGCTAGTAATTCATTTATTTGTATGAATTTGTTAATCAATAATATAATACGTTTATCAATAATGATATACTACGAAAGGAACTTCGTTCCAACCGAGTGTTCCACGACACTCACACATGTTTTTTATTTTTTGGTTGCGTCGATTTCATTTTCACAGCGACAACATGAGATCATTCAACGATGAATGAACGCTATAAACGAAAGATATACTTATAAACATTGAGTTGTATGTACTTGTATGTACCAGAGAAACTATTCCAAACAAAAATTGTGCCCTACTCTATGTCTTCGCGCATGCGCGGGAGATGTAGAGTCGCGCATGCGCGAAGTCTAATTTAATATTTCTAAATAAAATGTAATAATAATTATCTCATGGAATTCACAAATCTTCAATTTACGCAATATTTAGTTTAGTGTACGGATTGCAGTACAGTTCAGTTGAACATAGTCAATGTTCGGAATGCGAAATCTAGTGCGGAGTACATATATATCCATGCTTATAAATGAGTGAATGAGTGACTGGAAACTTACGGTGCGGCGTCGTGAACCGAGCACTGTAATACAGCTTCAACGTTGACAGCAGAGTTGATGACTGTCTTGTGAACTTGTACGCGGGGCTTGCCTGGAAGAAATATGAAACTTCTAACAAAAGAAACAAAACATACGTTATTGCTATATTTAAAAAAAATATACATTATTTTATTCTATATACGGTGACACTACACTAACATAGCTGCAGCATGGCTCTACAACGTATAAAAAAAGATCCTTGGGGGAGGCCAATGTTCAGCAGTGGACCTGCGATTTGTTTAAGTGCTTAAGTCAGCCACGATATGACGTTGACGGTTATCATTTTTTTTTATAGAAGTAGGGTGACAAACAATCACACGGTTCACCTGATGGTAAGTGAATGCTGTCGCCCATAGACATCTACATCTGTCTTCGATTAAAAATCAAAATCCAGATGCGTTGCCTCGTATCCAGTAAAATGGGTATCCGGTTCTCTACACTCACCATTCGAAACTCAGCAGCATTAAGCTGCTATTTACGCTGGTATTCTTGTGAGTGCGTGGTTCTTTCTCGGTCGAGCCGACCCATTTGTGCTACAACTACCACGTATAAAATTGTAATCAATGGCTGATATAATATATATAAAAATTTAATAACTATTAAAATATTAAACACTTACTTCTGACCACAACAGTGAGCTCTGACTGTTTGTTTCCGAGTCCGTTGAAAGCGTAACAATAGTATTTACCAGCGTCGCTTGGCTTCACCTTCCTGATGAAGAAGCTGTTGATCGAGAATTCGCCGTCCTTCTCTTGCAGACGTTCATTCTGACAAGAAAGAAAGAGGTGGTTACAGCATTGGGTGACGACTGACAATCTAGTGTTCACGTCATTTATAAAACAGAAGTTCAGTTTCCCTGTATCGCCTCTTACGACACCCACGGGATAAAGTGGATATTCATACACCGCCATCTTAACCTATAGTAATGCTTCTAGTCCGAGAGCCCACCGCGTGATTACTAAGCCCATCTATTGTGTAATTACGGTATAATGAGAGCTATTAATTTTCTTCTCACCAGATGTCGCTAGTTGACACTGAGGTAAAGTTTTTTTGTTACACAATGTCATTTAATTGAGAAGTTGGTTTTAAATAAAAGTTTATCATTTTCTAGAGTATTATATTAATACACGAAACAATACCTCAGTGGTTTGCTCTTTTATTTCTTGCACTATTTAACTTTTTTTTTAATTTTTCTACTTTTATGAATATTTGTGGTTTAGTTTATTTATTTTAATCGTATTAATATAAAATATAGCTAATAGTACAGAAAGAAACAGTAACCTTTACATTTTCCGAACAAATTAACTTCCCCACTATGAAATCTGACAAATATTATACTTCACTTTTAAGTGGCGCCGCCCTGGTGGCAGAAAAAGTCGTGGATGCCCTCACTATATAGGTCCTTGTCTGATGGACGGTGTGCTACGCTAACTTTATCTCGCTCTTGTGTTTTTCAACCGACTTCAAAAACAGGAGTTTTCTCAATTCGACTGTATTTTTTTATGTGTGCTACCTCAGAAATTTTTTTTAGGTGAACCAATTTTGATGATTCTTTTTTTATTTGAAAGCTGATGCTTCTCATGTAGTCCCATAGTTTTCTCAAGATATGACTAGTAGTTTTTGGGTTATCCTTAATAATGCTTATTTAGTTAACTTCGACTACATTGATGTTCTCATTTTTGTCGGTTGTACAAAATTTTGTAATTTTAGCATTTGTTTAATATTGGAATCGGTTGTGCAAAATTTTTAATTTTACTTCTTGTTGATCAACATTATTTGTGGGCATTTTTTAAAAGGCAACCTTACTTATCAATTTGTAGAGAAAATAAAAAATTTAAATCAAAATAAAATTTCTGTCATCAAAATAATGTTTACCCGAACACTACACATTAAATGTAAAAAGTTTCATGTCGTTTTAATAACTTCTTTTATATTCCCGACGTTTCGAGTACTTTACAGCAGGTATGGTCACGGGGTACTGAGGAATTTTTTTCTGTCTATCGATCTGTCCGGGATCATCGGAATGGTTGAACTGATAATAAAACTTTACGAACGCAAGGAGTGATCTAGGTTTTTTTCAAAAAACGAAAAATTTATGTAATAAAAGGTCTGATTATATTAAATCTAAATGTCGCTACGTCAGCGGATAGATTGTATTAAATAAATTTTTATTAACAAAGTGTGTGTGTACTTATGTACGCACGTCGGAAGTTATACTTCTTTAGTAAACAAAAAAATACTTGAGAGAGAATTATCTACCCACTGACGTTGTCGCATCGTAACAACTTCATTATGTGTTTGTGCGCGCACATCGTAAAAAATTCACTCTCAGCATTTTCCCCAAACGCCCCAAAAGAAGTATAACTTCAATACATTTTTAAAGGCAACCCGGCAAAAACGTATTCCTCAAAAAAAATGTATTTCTATTAAAAACAGATGGGCGTAGTAATCACGTTGTGGGATCTCGGACTATACAAACACAATTGACGTGACGTCAGCGCTGCCAATCAAAATATATCGAAACGCACAATTCTATTGATAAAACCCACACACGTTGTTAGACATAAAATTCATTTGCTATTTATAAACAAACACTTGAATCTTATTCCGATGTACTAAGGTACAAAATTTCAACAAATTTTTTTTAGTTGAATAGTGTGGTGGTTCTATCGATAACTCCTGTCTGTTCATAATGATCGATGACTTGTACTTCACTATCAAGTGTCTACAGTTTTGTCCGTTAACTTTTGTTTGAATGAGTCGTTCCATTAATGAACTTTATTAATAGTCTATAATATAATATATTATATAACATATATTATATTTATATATAAAAGTATCTACGTGTCAGATTGTTTGTCCGCGATGAACTCCTAAACTATTGAACTGATTTTAATGAAATTTTGCACACTGTGTTAAGTTTGGTCCAACTTGAGAGACAGGATAGTTTTTATCCCGATAAGTGACCCTCAATTTTTTTTGCAGTTTTTTTAGGAAATTAAATGGTCGTCGGAAAGGGCAGAACAACGTCTGCCTGGTCAGCTAGTATAATATATATTATATATGTTAGTTATAGATTATAAAGTTTGGGTAACTTATGGACAACTTGGCCGATTGAGGTCACATTCACATAAGACATTGGTTGGTCAATAGTTCATATTCTATGCTTAGGATCCTATCGGTGGCGATGTTGTCAAATTATTAACAAATTCTATATTTATGCGCCAAAATAACTTATGTTTACAACTAGCTGTTCCCTGCGACTTCGCTCGCGTGTAATTTAGGGTTTTTTTGCGCGGAACCCTACTTCTTTTTCCTAAATAGAAGTAGCCAAGTTACAGGAGGAAGTAAGGAGGTTTTATAATGATATAACATCAGATATCTGCCAGTGAAAGTACCTGCAATATCGGTCCAGCCATTTCGGAGAATTTTAAAAATTGTGTTTTTGTTATAAGTACCGTATAATATACCTTCATATAATGCTTTTAGTAAAAAAGCTTTTATTTTGACATTACAAACAGACACTTCAATTTTATTTATTTGTATAGATAAAGATGCATGATGGCTTGGTGCCAAAAAAGAAAATAACAAAATCCTGGATCCGATAGGTCCAAATTTTTTACTAACACTGTTACACATCGGGTACTTTTAACGCTACTCGTACCTACAGGCAAAGGCAGCACAACGTCTGCCAGACCATTTGGTATTGCTAGACATTAAAGTCTAATGCGCTGTCATTTACACCCACATACAATAATGTGAAAACGTACAGATATAATAATTCTGTAATAATTTTGCTTACACCATTGCCGGTATCCCTGGACCAGATGATCTGCGGCGGAGGAGAGCCACCGGCGACACAAGTTAACAGCAGATCGGAACCTTCAACCACTTGTCCGTTGTCAGATGCTGTGAATTCTGAGATGAAAAGTTTTTTTTTAACGACCGAAAAGTGACATACTATAATTCCTTCATTGCAACATGCATATCTGAAAACAACTACTCGTACAAACAGAGGCGGCTGAACTGAGTAAATGATGTATATATAACTTAGAGATGACTGATTTTTCACACTGTTTAATATTTAAATATATTATTATTTAGATAATGTTTCCTTAAATAGAAAATTACTCAATCCCTTTCGGTTTTGTATGCAACTCTGAGTTCGTTGCTCACAGAGGACATTGACATAGATTAACTAATAGTTACTGACAGAGGCATAAGAAGGTAAATCACTTCGAATTATTTTGTTATACTCATGCATTTATTCATAAAGTATTTTTTAGATTAAAGTTTTACGTGGTAGAGCCATGCTGCAGCTATATTGTAGTTGCAGCACGAAAGGGTCGGCTCGTCCGGAGTAGGAACACGCTCTCACAGAACACCAGCGTAAAATAGCAGCTTAATGCTACTGTACTTCGTATGATGAGTGTGAGAACCGGAGACCCTTTTTACTGGAAACGAGGCATTCCATCTCAGTCCTCGGGGGTGACAACACATGTGCATTTTGTCTCTTAATTGAGGATAAATGTAGATGTCTATGGGCCATAGCATCCACTTACCATTAGGTGGACTGTGTGCTCTTTTGTCACCTTTATTCTATAATACATTGACTTGTTTGGGTTTTTTCTTTTGATTTTATATGTACGATCTACTAATTAATAAGTAATGTGTGCCAAAAACGTAATAAAAAAAAAACAATAAAGTTTTTTTTATATTCCGTGGTGCCCACATCCTCTTAATATTATAATTCAATATCTACCATATTTATTATAGTTCCACTTTCGCAGATTATAAATAGGTAAGTAGGTAATATAACTTTCTTAAGTTAACATTACTGTTACATTTACAGTCCTATAAAATGTACCACCTAGTTTGTCCTATAAAAAGTACACTACTAAAACTAGAACTCATCATAAATTGCCTCATATGGGGATATTATTTTTACTACATATTTGCCTTAGTTTTCACGTTTGGCAGGCGATTTGGCAACCGCAGTTATTTTTATTTTTGGAACGAAGTTCCTTATCGTACGGTACTAATGGCGGATGGGGGTTAGGCGAGAAAAAGTGTAAGATTTTTCCGTCACGACCACTTCTGACGTAGGCCTTGGCGGCTGTAAGGAAGCGAGATGGAATAATATCCATCTCCCTCGCACTTTTTCTCAATATTATTTTATTTTAAATGACGCTTCATTTTAATAGACGTTAGTAATTCATTTAATTGTATTTGTTAATCAATAATCAAAGGAACTTCGTTTGAACCGAGTGTTCCTCGACACTTGCATGTTTTACTTTTTTTAGTTGTTAATAGGGAAATTCCGGCCCATCTCCTGGTCCGTTTCCCTCTGTCGCTTACGGGACACCTACGGGTCGATATGGGGTAGTGGATATTCTTACACCGTCACAAAACGGTCACCGCTATTACATCTAATATAATGTCGATATCTGTATAAATAAGGGTACAACTACGTGACTTGTCTACTTACTTATAATCTTTGGTGCTTCGAGGATATCCAGCGTGTGCTCGACGGAAGCCTTGTTGGTTTGCAGCACTTCGCATTTGTAGGTGTCGCTGTCGTTGAGCGCCACATCTCTGATCAGGAGGTCCGTTGAGTTGGCAGGACTGCAATAAAAATTTAACTGACGTCTGGTTTCTTTTAGAAATGTTGGCGTGACGTTTTACCACGACGTGAAATGGAAACTTAATGTTATTGCGTTTCATTTTGTAAGTGTAGATAATGAACGGAGACCCTTTTTACTGGTAACGAGGCTCGCATTTCGACACTTAATAAGGATATATTAAGGTTTCTTTAGAACACAGCATCCATTTACCACCAGGTGGACTTTGTGATCGTTTGTATATCTATCAGTTATTTAAAAAAAAACTTACATCGATATCCTATCGTCTTGCATGTAAGAACTGACGTCCTGCTCCTGAGCTTTCATTGTGCCGAAAAAGTACATTGAACCATTCTTCGTCCACTGGAAGACCGCACCATCTGCAAGTAAAAATTAGGGCGCATTATGTATTTAACAATTAGCAATATTATATTAAATTATATTAAGCCAATAATAATAATAATAGTAAACGAAACTGCCGTTGCCAAACCCGCCTGCCAAGGCAACTATGGCAAAGATCCTCTCGATGAGTTCAAACTCATGGATGGTGGAAATATGTTCAACAGTGGACTTTGAATGGGCTGTATTGATAATGACGATGATTATATGTTTACGACTCTTATTCTAGTCGGAGAGAGTAGAGAACTTTTTACTGGAAACGAGGCATTCAATGTTAGTCCTCGGGGCTGATAACACATCGGCATTTTGATTCTTAATTGAGGACTAATTTAGATGACTGCAGGGTCACAGTATCCACTTACCATCAGGTGGACTATGTGCTCGTTTGTCACTCTCAAAGAGATTTAAATATATAGGTATATATACTACTACTTAAAGGTCTTTGGTCACTCTATTCTATAAAAAAGCGCATATTTTTTCCGAACATATGCAATTTCAAGAAGTATCAATTTTCGAGCGACAAAATCATGTCTAAGTATATTAAGATATTTTTATCCAAACTGACCTTCAGCGTTAATAGTCAGCAAGAGAGTTAAAACGTTAAAATAGTTCATCGTATGATATAAGTGCCAACAGTAATTACAAACGCGTATTCTAACGCCGCCATATTGTTTGTACAGTTAATCGGAAATGGTCTCGCTTTTGGCGCCTCCGGAAACGATGACGCGATGTCGTTACGCTGTCATCTTTTATTGCGTAATGTTTTCTTTTTATATATTTTAAAATGGCATTGGAAGGAAGTCCATAAATTGGCGTTTAAACATTTAAGGTACGTTAGGACGATACAAATGAAGTGAATGAGATAATCGTTGATTGTGTTTTTAATTTTTATACACACTAATATATCTGAATTTTTTAAACATCTCAAAATAAATTTCCTAGTTCTTTACAGAATAAGTTTACAGCGTAGAGCTCTAAGACACAAAATATAAGCTAAAGTTATATTTTGTGTAACATTGCATGCACTGCTAATGAAAAAAATAATAAAATATAGCATTAAGCATTGCTAGCACTTATTTCTTTTTGAAGTTATACTTCTTTTGGCGCATTTGAGAAAAATTATTAGAGTGATTTTTTTACGATGCGCGCGCACACCGAAACCTAAAGAAGACAACTTGTGTTGGTAATTGTATGCGGTATGTCATCTGTCAAGTTTTCGTGAGAACTGATAACTATGTTCAAGGTATTTATTCAAATATAATATAATATATGAATCTATAAGCCGTGTTTTATTTTAGTTATTTTTGTTTTGTTACGCTAAAGAAGCATAACTTCTTACGTGCGTACATAAGTACACACACACACACACACACACACACACACACACACACACACACACACACACACACACACACACACACACACACACACACACACACACACACACACACACACACACACACACACACACACACACACACACACACACACACACACACACACACACACACACACACACACACACACACACACACACACACACACACACACACACACACACACACACACACACACACACACACACACACACACACACACACACACACACACACACACACACACACACACACACACACACACACACACACACACACACACACACACACACACACACACACACACACACACACACACACACACACACACACACACACACACACACACACACACACACACACACACACACACACACACACACACACACACACACACACACACACACACACACACACACACACACACACACACACACACACACACACACACACACACACACACACACACACACACACACACACACACACACACACACACACACACACACACACACACACACACACACACACACACACACACACACACACACACACACACACACACACACACACACACACACACACACACACACACACACACACACACACACACACACACACACACACACACACACACACACACACACACACACACACACACACACACACACACACACACACACACACACACACACACACACACACACACACACACACACACACACACACACACACACACACACACACACACACACACACACACACACACACACACACACACACACACACACACACACACACACACACACACACACACACACACACACACACACACACACACACACACACACACACACACACACACACACACACACACACACACACACACACACACACACACACACACACACACACACACACACACACACACACACACACACACACACACACACACACACACACACACACACACACACACACACACACACACACACACACACACACACACACACACACACACACACACACACACACACACACACACACACACACACACACACACACACACACACACACACACACACACACACACACACACACACACACACACACACACACACACACACACACACACACACACACACACACACACACACACACACACACACACACACACACACACACACACACACACACACACACACACACACACACACACACACACACACACACACACACACACACACACACACACACACACACACACACACACACACACACACACACACACACACACACACACACACACACACACACACACACACACACACACACACACACACACACACACACACACACACACACACACACACACACACACACACACACACACACACACACACACACACACACACACACACACACACACACACACACACACACACACACACACACACACACACACACACACACACACACACACACACACACACACACACACACACACACACACACACACACACACACACACACACACACACACACACACACACACACACACACACACACACACACACACACACACACACACACACACACACACACACACACACACACACACACACACACACACACACACACACACACACACACACACACGTTTTTATTTTCGTAACATTTATTACTTCAGTAAATTTTTTCACAATTTCTTTCGAATATCATTTGCATTTTCAGTGTCAAGCATATAATATATTAGATTTAGTTATAAATAACGAGTAATTTAAACTTCCACTGTCAACAATGTGTGAATCAGTTTACATTATCCATTTGCCATTTGTATAAATTAGCGGTAAGGTTTATTCCTACTGTACTTTTATTCACTGACGTGTTTGTTATGCTAGATAGTATGCGGTTAGAATTAAATATAAATCGATAATTATATACGTAATGTACGATTCACAACTGACTGAGAATTGGATTGGATGTGTTCACAATGACTTACTAATACTTCTAAAATTATATTTCATCATAATATCATAATATTTCTTATATTACTATCAGTCACAGATCGTGATCGTAGGTGAGTATCTATTAAAAAATTAATATAATTACATGACTTTAATATAAAACAATATTGACACAGTGTATCTTTCTTCAATTTTGTTCTACTTTGTCGATAAAATGTATTATTTACTAGCTGTTCGCTGCGACTCCGACCGCGTGTAATTTACGGTTTTAGTTTTGTTACGTGGAACCCTAATTATTCTATCTAAGATATAAGTAGCCTAAGTTACATATAACATGAGCTATCTACCAGTGAAAGTTCCGCCAAAATCGGTCGAGCCGGTTTGGAGATTAGCCGGAACAAACTGACAGACAGACAGACAAAATTTTTAAAAATTGTTTATGTTATAAGTACCGTATATACTTTGATATGCAATTAGTAAAAAGCTGTTATTTTGACATTACAAAAAGACATTATTAATTTGTATAGATGTATACATAGATGTTAGCTTTTGTGTGACAGTACCTGACAGACCTTACAATAGGTAATTCTATTTTATATTAGATTCAATTAAAGATCACACAGATTTTTTTTAATTTGCAACACTGATTCCAGATTTGAACATTATAACTATTTTCAACAAATTCACAAGAATTCCATACGTATTACGTTTTTTTTCCTTATTTAAATTACTCTACTGATAAATTCGTTGGATGTGAATAGTCCCTAACATACCTGCAGGTGATATTTTGCACTCGAGCCGGACGCTCCGTCCTATGGTGACGTTATAGTGGCTCGGTTGTGTGAGGATGACCGCTGACACTTCTGGCTCTTCATCCGCATCGTTTCCTGCAACAATGAATATATTAGCATGTTGAATTAACCATGACCGTGGCCTAGAGGTCAGCCTTGTTCCCTAGCAAACTAGCCGAGCCCTATCGTACTTAGCTACTACATCGCGGGTCGCCGTTTTGACGTTTAGTCGAAACTAACAAAACACAAAATGTATTTTTTTATGTTTTGTAACTGTACGTTAAACGTGCTAGAGCCATGCTGCAGTTATATTAGTAGTATAGTTGTAGCACGAATGGATCGGCTCGACCGGGGAAAGACCACGCTCTCACAGAATACCAGCGTCAAATAGCAGCTTAACACTGCTGTGTTTCGTATGGTGAGTGTAGAGAACCGGAGACTATTTTTACTGGAAAAGAGGCATTCCATCTTAGCCCTCACGGATGACAACGCATCTGCATTTTGATTCGCAAACGAGGATAAATGTAGATGTTTATGGGCCACAGCAACCACTTACCATCAGGTGGACTGTGTGCTCGTTTGTCACCTTATCCTATAAAAAAAAACCTTTGTCTTGTGTACCATTTTCTTTTTATTTTAACCATTTAGTTTAAGTCAGAAGTAAAATAACCAGACCGGCGACAGGATCCAGCGTGAAACTCAATAGTGCTAGTTTGGTTCTGCGATCCTCAAACCTCCCTACAACGAGAGTTACATGTCCAGCAGTGGAATTTAACGGGCCGGAAAAGGAGAAGGAGATATTACGTTGGCGTAAATTTATTTTATTGTGCCAGCCGAACACTAATGCGTAAATAATTTAAGTTCCATTTATACTTATTCTCGAAGTACTTATTCGTCTATTTTGTACTAGGCATTACTTTATAGGCTGTATGCCTAACATTCTTTTAACTGTATTTAGGAAGTTCAGTAATACTTTCAGAAAATTTAAAAGCGTAAGTATGTAGTGTTTTGTAGATTATTAAAAGTAAAAGTAAGTTTAAAAATTAGAACAGCTTGTAATTACTTAATAGCCATTTTACTAGTTCTTCTTTTAACTATTATATTATTTAATCTGTGCTAGTTCTTACTTTCAAGGCTGTATGCTTAACTTTCTTCTAACATCTCTTTAATACGTAGTAGTTTAGTATAAAAGTAATTTTAAATATTTTAAAGAGTAAAAAGAAAACGAATGTTTGTTTAGTGCGGTGACTCTTTACACTTGATGCCGGTGCGCCAAGTCATAGAAGCGCCAATAGGTATTTATGGAAACTGCGGTCGGTATTTTTTTTTATAGGATAGGGTGACAAACGAGCACACAGTCCACCTGATGGTAAGTGGTTACTGTGACCCATAGACGTCTACATCTATCATCAATAAAGACTCCAGATGCAGATGCGTTGTCACCCGTGAGGACTAAGATGGAATGCCTCTTTGCCAGTAAAATGGGTCTCCGGTTCTCTACACTCACCATACGAAACACAGCAGCGTTAAGCTGCTATTTTACGCTGGTTTTCTGTGAGATAGTTAGTGTGAGAGTGAGAGGTGTGCAAATACTACTGTCGATACAATTTACGTGGTGGAGCCACGCTGCAGCTATATTATGGTTGTAGCACGAATGGGTCGGCTCCAACGGTGAAGAACCACACTCTCACAGAATACTAGCGTGAAACAGCATAACAACGCTGCTGTGTTTCGTATAGTGATTGTAGAGATCTGTAGACCCTTTTTACTGGAAACGAGACATTCCATCTTAGTCCTCAGGGGTGACAATGCATCTGCATTTTGATTCTCAATTGAATATAAATCTAAATGTCTACGGGCTACAGCATCCACTTACCAACAGATGGACTGTGTGCTCGTTTGTCACCCTTATTCTACAAAAATAAAATAGGTACAGTTTAATTTTTATGTGTGGTAGACCCACGCCAGCAAAGAACATTTTTAAATTCTCATAGGAGTTTTAAAGTATAAAACTTTACGTACCTCCGTCACCATCATTTTGAGCCTCATCATCAATGGCCGCGTCGGAGAGGACGTCGTAGTCCTCCGACTGCCGCCGGTGCATCGAGTGACGTGCTTCTGTAAGAGAAGAGGATCTTTCATTAGCTATATATGTACGGATGGTTATTGATAAAGTAATGTTCGGTGGAATGAATTTAAAAATCAAAAAATATAAACGTTTTTTATATAACATACTGACTAGTACCCGGCGCATTGTTGCCGCAAAAAAAATAATTGTGGAAATATCGTTTTAAATTTGGAAGAGTTATAATGTTTAACTAGCTGTTCCCCGCGATTTCGTCCGCGTGTAATTTTTTTGTGCGGAACCCTAATTGTTTTTTCTAAAATAAAAGTACCCTAAGTTACTCCTTATAACATCAGCTATCTGCCAGTGAAAGTCTGGTCAAAATCGGTCCGGCGATTTTGGAGATAAGCCGGAACAAACAGACAGAGATACAAAAATTTTAAAAATTGTGTTTTTCTCGTACACTTTCATATACATGTAGAAAAAGCTGTTATTTGGAAATTACAAACAGAAACTTCATTTTTATTATTTGTATGTAGTATGTATAGAGTATACATGTATAGATATAGATTAGGAATGACAATATATTTGTTGAAATTGAATACTTTATATCTTTCAAATAATTTGTGGTGGTTTGGTCACGTAGAAAGAATGAACGAGGAAAGAATGACAAAGCAAAAATTTATGTTTGAGAAGTGAACGGCAGAGACGGGAAGAGACGCCCTAGATGAAGATTTATCGACCATATCGGCGATACATTGAAAATGGGCCAGATTAGGAGTACCCTTAACCGACGAGCGTGTATGCGTAAATATATGGATGTGGAGGCGAGAGAGGTGTGTCAGGATCGCGCCAGATGGAAGTCCGTAGTCTCTGCCTTCCCCCTGGGTGACAGGCGTGAGTGTTTGTGTTGTGCTTTCAAATAAATTTGTCGGTACGATACGTGCGCCACCTACTGTAAGTTAGTTGTACTATGCTATAACCTTCGCGCAAGTGCAAGCAATAAGTTGACAAAGTTTTAGCGCAATCTGATGAACGGTATGGCGACGAATAAAATACGAACGAACAAAAATTTATTTTTATATGTCGGAGAGTCTATAAAATACCCGGTTGGATCGAGGTGCAATGGAGGGTATATCGAGAAACCCCCGCTTGTTCGTGCAGTATAAAGTTCACTGTAGGTGCCGTGCGCGAGAGATTCGGCTTAAGTCACGCAACGGGTGTGGTCATGCAACGGGTGTGGTCATTCTACTGGTGCTAAGATAGTGTCGCGGTTCTGTTCGTTGTTGTAATTCTTCTTGTGCAGGCAAGGAGGATTGGTGTTGCTGAGAGTCTGCTCTGTGTTATATTGAGATAAGTAGTGTTGCTGTTGGTTTACATATTTTGGTGTTATCATGTAATTACGTACCTCACGTTACACTGGTGTGTAATTGTGGCAGAGACGTGTTACGGTCTGGTCGAACTGTAATTTCACTATACTGAATGTATAGTGCGTTACGTTGTCTTATTACTGATAATGATTAAACTGCGTAAGCAAGAGAGCAAGTTGAACATCCGCTCTCACACTTTTATTATTTTTAACATTTAACGCTATCCTGATGTATTTCCGAGATCAAAATAGAGATCCTCTATTGTAAGAATCTCCGACATCAGAAGTGGGATCTCCTGTTGTCATTTCCGATATATATATTAGATAACATATTTTAACACATTAGCGTATTATGGGATGCTGTCACCCTGGGCATAGGCAAAAATGCACCTCACCTATTTTCGCAAATATCTTAAATAATAAAAAAAAATAGTAAAAGTCTCCGTCTACGTATATTAAAAGACTATAATGAAAAATCTAACAAGACCGATCGATAAACCGATTCATCATGATAATAATTTAAAATTAAACATTTTGTACAACCGACTTCAATATAAATTATTAAAAATAACTCAAAAACTATTGGTCAGACCTTGATCAAATTATGGGACCACATGTGAAGCACCAGATTTCAAATAAAAAAAGAATCATCGAAATCGGTTCAACCAGTAAAAAGTTATGAGGTAATACACATAAAAAAACATACAGTCCCATTGAGTACCGTCTCCTTTTTGAAGTCGGTAGAAAATATTCTGTTTTGAACAGTAAACAGGAGATATCCATCCCTCTCTCATCTCAACTCATCTATTACAGCTTATATAATAATCCACTGCAGAACATAGATAGGCCTTTCCTCTTCGAGAAATTTTTGCTACAGTTGCCACGCTTGGCAGGCAAGTTGGCAATCGCATTTCGAGTTGAGAAGATGCTGCCACCTATCTTCTGTTTCACTATCCCCGTGGCGTCTCTTACGACTCACTGGACGATATGGAGTAGTGGATATTCTTACACCGTCAATCACACGGTTTAGAAGATATGAGATGTGAGATATAACTATTCTAAATAGAATACATTTTATTCGACACAGATTATAAAATGATTTAATTGAAAGTTCTTTTTTTTTACTTTTACAACTGATTCGAATAATATCTCTGTCCTGGGACATACCAGTAAGAAAACCAATTTTTCTCGGTGGTATTGATATGTTAAAAATTTTCGAGCAACAGTGATCTCTCAGTTGAAGCACTACACTCCCACGTAAGGGTTCATTAACAAGATTCCCCACATATTTATTCAACTATTACTTAAATATGTTTTCTCTCTTATCACATACGCGGTCAGAAGGCACACGATACTGCATCAGTGTTGTTAACTCAATAAAGTGATTTACATAAAGCATGAATTTCCCATAAAGGGCTCCGACATTCGCCGGAGTTACTATACAGTGCGGTCCTGTCCGAATTTGGTAAGGCAAATGCGGCTAGCTACTTTTACGTATGGTGCAAGTTTCAAGAGGCAGCGAGATTTTTTTACCATGATGAGGAAATGACAAAAGATGATTCAATCTACGAAATAATACTCGCATGTTATTATTTTCATTACAGCCCATTAAAATTCACTGCTGCTAGAAGATTACTTCATAAGATAGATATTTGTCACAGTTGCTACGCTCAGCAAGCAAGTTAGCTACCGCAGTTTTTTTTTAATTTCATGTTATTATTAGTAATGTCTCCTGGCTTATTTCCTTCTGTCGCCTATGATATAATACACGGCCATTACAAGGTCTAGTTTATAAAGATGATAATTCTAAAATTATTTAATATTAGTATCCATAAGGACAAAGGCTTCAAATCATAAGGCTTCAGTGAATTCACCATACATTTTCCATTTGCGAGCATCTTAAGAGGCGTTGACGAGAGGACATGAAGGTGATGAGGGGACAATGGAAAATTCTAGAACAAATTAATTTTATTGATACATGTTCGTATAGCCATCTACTAAATGCTAGATGTAAATATCCAGACAGTTGACGGATAGGATCGTCAAACATGCGAGATAGATAGGAGAGTTAAGAGGCCACAGAGGGAAAAAAACCAAGATTATGATACAATTTAAGGGACCTTCCGTATTATTCCGCAGTGGGCTTTCATAGCCTAATTTTATTAAATACGTTTTACCCCTACGCTAGGATTTTCTCATCCATACAAACATCCAGACCCAGAACAATTATTTGTAGGCCATACAAATACTTGTTCCGTGCGGGTTTCGAATCCGAGGCCCCCAGTACAGTAACTTATTGCTAAGCCACTGCGTCAAGGAGCCGTCATGAATGAATGGAAAAACCTTTATAAATTCATAATATTGTGTCAAATGTCCTATATAATATAATATAGTATAGTACAACAAAAAAAGTATATAAAACATACAAAAATATAACCTTTTACGTCTGAATTACAAACAACTGCTTTTAGTGTATATATCTATATTTTAAGTTTATTTTTTGTAACTGATTTATGTTCTTATATGTGGGAATATCCACTACCCCATATCGCCCGTGGGTGTTGTAAGAGGCGACAGACGGGAAAAACCAAACTAAAATAAAATAACTGCTTTTGCCAATCCAACTGCCAAGCGTGGAAACTATGGCAAACAATCCCTCTATAAGGTTATCCCTGGGGCTGGCCAATGTTCAGCAGTGAACTTTGATGAAGAGGCTGTAAGATTAAAACTATATAATTTAAAATTAAAAAAAATTATACAGCCCTCTTCAATATAAGTTATTAAGAATAACTCAATAACTATTAGTTTGATATTGATCAAATTCATATGAGACCACACGAGAAGTATCAGCTTTCAAATAAAAAAAGAATCATCGAAATCGGTTCACCCAGTATAAAGTTATGAGGTAACACACATATACACACTTTTTCGGAAGTCGGCAGAAAAAAGCGTTTAACCACAATGGTTTTTCTAAAGCTAAAACGTTTTTTTATTACCCGCTAATCGCTACCTCTTGCATTCATACCACACTTTGTAAGGCGCGTGCCTGTCTCTCAAGCTGTACTTACCTGTGTTGTAACTCAAATTGTTTCTAGATTGAATGCTGATACAGTGTGTTTAGTTTAACCATGTAAGGACTAGCTGGTTAGCTATTGAAGTGTGTATGAAACATAATGATCCCGATTCAACCTTACCTGCTAGTTCCTATGTTAATTATATTTGTAAAACTTTTAACCTAATCTTCGGAAATATTTGTGTGAAATTGTGTACCATTCGTATTTATCTAGGCTTTCTTTAAATTGTTTGAGAGCTTAAGACTCGAATGCTCTTGTGACAGTGATATTGCCGAAGCTATATAACAGTTGTGGCAGTTGTAGCACGAAAGGGTCGGCTCGACCGGGGAAGGACCACGCTCTCACAGAATACCAGCGTAAAATAGCAGTTTAACGCTGCTGTGTTTCGTATGGTGAGTGTAGAGAACCGGAGACCCTTTTTACTGGAAACGAGGCACTCCGTCTTTTTCCTCAGGGGTGACAACGCATCTGCATTTTGATTTATAAAATATAAAATATATCAATATATAATCTTTATATATTTATAAAAATTACGTGTCACATTGTTTGTCCGCGATGAACTCCTAAACTACCAAACTGATTGCAATGAAATTTTG